GGTCTATTACCCACTGATTTGAAATTTGACTTTAATCATACCTTAAATTTCCTCATATATATTGGGTTCTATTTCTAGACTCCCAGACTGTTTCTTCATCAGTCTATTTTACAAGAAGGTACTGTTTTAATTATTGCAGCTTTGTAATGTATTTCAGTGTCTATGCTAGTTTCCTCTGTTTGCTATTCATTTTCAGAATTTGTTTGGCTATTCTTTAATGGCTTTTTTTTTATGTGAACTTTAGAGTCACTTTGTCTACTTTAAAAAAAATCGTGTGTGTGTGTGTGTGTGTGTGTGTGTGTGTGTGTGTGTATGTGTTTGAAGTGAAGAAAAGTTTAAGAGAATGACATCTTTATAACATTGATTCTTTCTATACACAGTTCTCCTTCATTCTCAATTATCCCCTTTTCCACAGAGCGGGTGGCTAACAGGGCTGTTGTGTACAGTTAACATAGGTTGTACACTACACCATCCTAGTACTAAGGCTGAGAGGAGCCATTGACACCTGCAAACAGGATATGAGCTCTCCTCTCTAGGCTAATCTGTCCGTCTTCATTTATGAACAATACTATTAGTAGCCACCCCTCCTCGCATGTGCCAGGCTCTGTTCTAAGCAGTATATATTTATTAATGCATTTAATCTTCAAAACAAACATATCCCCAATTTATAGCTAGAGAAAATGAGGAACAAAGAAGTTAAGTAACTTTCCCAAGGTCTCTGATTTGTTACCCTCCTGAGCATTCACAGCACAGAAATCTGTTCCTGCACATAAATACATACACACACACACACACACACACACATAGATATGTGCACACACTCAGACCACAGGCACACATACTTCAACACACAGGCATGCACACACAGATGTGCACACACATATTGACGTTCACAGGTACATACATGGACATACATACAGACACACCTGCACACACACAGACACACATGCACACATGCATGCACACACAAACACATGCACATGCTCTGTTATCCCAGCAGCATCCTGTTCCCCTCAGCCTGTCACTCTTCCTACAGCACACACCCTGCCAGCCCCTCTGCCATCTCTTGCTTTCGAACCAGGCAGGTCCTTGAGGAAAATCAGCTGTCACTGCTCTGAGTCCTGGGTAGGGCGTCCCTCCTAGGATCCCTGTATCCAGAGGGCAGGGGGTCTTTTAGGAGGGTGTGACTTTACCACAGGAGCCTGGGGAGAGGAGCCTTGTGAGGATAATGGTAGGCAAGGAATGAGGATCCCCCAGCCCAGGGCCTGGTACCCAGCAGATTCTCAGAGAAAGGCCTCCCCTTCCCTCTCCTCCTCCCCAGAGTTATTATCTCTGGCAGCCTCTGGAATCAACCCATCCAAGCAAAAGTCATTCTGCTGCAGGCTGGCACCCCCAGGGGGGCTTGAAGAATGAACAAGCAAACGCAGACCTGGGAGCAAATTGCCCAGTGAGCAGGTTTACAGAGGTGAGGGTGTCTGGGCACAGAGTGTGTGTGTATGTGTGTGTGTGTGTGTGTGTGTGTGTGTGCGCTCGCACATAGACACATGTGTGCATACAGACACACACCCCGGCCCCTCTGACTGTTCTGGCTCTGAGTCAGCCCCACATGGAAGGGATTTAATCATTCAGGGGCTGGGATCGTTATTGTTTTAAAACAAACGAGTGATGACAGCAATGAACAGAGGGTTTTTAAAAGCGCGATTCAAAGGGCTCTTGAAAGCTGCTGGAGAATATGAATGCGCCTTTGAAGTGAGAATGTGCCCATTTGTTAAGCTGAGAGCAAAGCTGGCTGCCTGGCAGGCAGTGGGCAGTGAGTCCTTTTCCCTAGCAAATGGGTGCCCAGCAGCCTCTCCACCCTCCCAACCACCTGGCCAGAGGTGGTCTAAGACCCTGGAGGCACAAACGCCCCTGGAAGGGACCAACAGTGGTGGTCACACCTCCAACTCCACCCTCAGAAAGAAGCATCTTCTTAGCTGTTTTTAAGACGCTGCATTCACCTGACGGTTGTTAAGAGCAATGGAAAGACGTGCATGCATGAGCAGGGAGAGACGTGTGATTGAAACATCAGCAGTCCAGGCGTGGTGGCTCACGCCTGTAGTCCCAGCACTTTGGGAGGCCAAGGCGGGTGGACCACTTGAGGTCAGGAGTTTGAAACCAGCTTGGCCAACAAGGCGACACTCTGTCTTTACTAAAAACACAAAAGTTAGCTGGTGGTGCACGCCTGTGGTCTCAGCTACTCTCGAGGCTGAGGTGGAAGGATCACCTGAGCCCCAGAAGTCAAGGCTGCGGTGAACCAAGATCATGCCACTGCACTGCAGCCTGGGCGACGGAGTGAGACCCTGTCTCCGGAAAAAAAAAAAAAAAAAAAAAAAAAAAAAAAAACATCAGCAGTGAGACAGTGAGACCTAGAGGGAGCAATCGAAGTGGCTTCCTGCCGGCACCTGCCCTCTGAGCCACCCTGAGGCCACTCTCAGGTGCGCCCCTCAGGTGGTCCCCACAGTGACGGTTAGCAGCAGCCAGGGTGGGGGTTCAAGGAAAAGCCTCCCAACCCGCCGCAGCTCTGTATTCATAAGATTGAGCCCTTGGGCCCTGGGGGCGGCGGTGCAACGTTTCGGGGTGCTGTGCAGCAGGATCAGCTGACTTGGGCCCCACCTGTACATGATGGCTTCTGTTACATTGTAAATCTCTACCTGAACCCAGTGAGGCCTGAAAGCAAATGCTGAACCTGTCCAAAGACCATGGATGTCCAGTACTGGGCAGATTGGACGGTGAGAGGATGGACCTGGGGCCCAGGCTCCAGATCCTTCTTACATTCCAACCACAGCCACACTGCCCCCAGCCACAGCTGCCTACCACCTGGTCCACTCCCTTCCAGGTGTAAATGGCCCCCTCCCGATCTCTGTCCTCTTCTTCCTCTGGTTGGTTTGCTCCATTTCTTTAACTTTTTCTTTCTTTCCTTTTCTTTTCTTTATTATTATTATTATTATTATTATTTTGTGTGGCAGAGAGGGGGTCTCACTATGTTCCTCAAGCTGGTATTGATCTCCTAGCCTCAAGTGATCCTCCCACCTCAGCCGCCCAAAGCACTGAGCTTGCAGGCATGTTCCATTTCTTAAGCCAGAAGAAGGTTGTCTGGTGTTTTCCACCCTCTGGGCTCACGGGGGAAAGTTGGCTGTCTGACCAAGACGGGCCTGGAGCATCAGCCGGCACTTAGGGTGACGGAGCCTCTTCCCTGGAGGGGACACTACTTTAGGGTTCAGGAAGGCAATGAACATTGGCAGAACATCTACTGTGGGCCAGGCACGGAGGCAGCATTTTCACCATCACTGTTCCCTTCCAGCCTTAGATGTTAAGGTAGCTGTGTTTTTTGCTTTTTTTTTTTCATCTGTCTGCTGATAGAGCAATAGCGACTCAGAAAGGTGAACCCTTGTCCACCTGCCAATGCTGGGAAGTGGTGGAGTGGATAGACAGGTCTGTAGATGACACACCCCCCACCACTGGCCTCAAGGTCGGGATGCCCACGGCCTGCCCTGCCAACAGCTTCCTGCATGGCTTTAATTACTTCCCACTCATCTGGGCACAGTGTGGTCACTGGAAGCTGCATAACACTGGGCTGATAAGCCTGGACTGCCCCCTGCCGGCTGCTTCAAGCCCTTGGCACATAGTAGGTGCTCACTAGGTGAGCTGTTGCGTGGTGCTCTCTAGAATCCGCTCCTTCAAATCTATCAAACGCAAGGCTCTTTGGCACAAGCTCTGGGGGTTCGTCCCTGGTTCTGTCCTCCACCTGGTTCAGGCTTCACGGAGGAGGGAGGTGTCAGCTCAAGTGCTCTGCCTCCGAAGCTGCCTGCCGGGCTGAGCGTCTCCCGCCCGGCTGTGTGACCTTGGGCAGGTCTCTAACCCCTTGAGGCCTCGGTGTCCCCTGCTCCAAAATGTAGATTGTAATCCTGTCTAGTCGTGAGGTTGCTGTGAAGATTAGATGAGCATATGTGGGAGCCCCCGGAACAGCCTGGAACATAGCAGGTGCTGTCATCTTTGCGGATATTGTTACCAGATGCTGGCTTCTGCCTCCCGGCCCCACCCCTTCCACAAAAAGGCAGATGTCTCCGAGATGGCTTAGAGCCCCTCCCCTTTCCTCCATCTCCCCCATCCTTCCATCGGCTCCCTTGTGCATTCACATCTACCCTCTCCCCGACTGACCAGGAGGACAGAGATCCCATTTCCCTCTAGAGCAGCCAACTGAGCAGTCTCGTGGAGTCTGGGGTGAAGTTCACTGTCTCTGTCGAGAGAACTGTGGTGGGGCGGGGAGGTCTATGAGGCTGTCCGCTCAGAGGATGAGGGTGACTGCAGAGAGGGGGAAGCAACCCTTCCTCCCCTCACTCGCCACCTGGGCAACCAGGCAGCCAGCCTGGGGTGAATGGAGGAGTAGAGGCAGGCTGGCCCAGGGCGCAGGATGGAAGGAGCAGGCAGCAGTGGTCATGGGATCCCGCTGGATGGACTCCGTGCTCGACGTCTTTAAGGACTTTCCCCAGCCTTGGGGAGCAGGACTCAGGAGACCCTCTACCCGCTACGGCCCATGTGAACCCACCTCCCTGTTCTCCTTGTGACATTGATATTCCCTTTGGCTGAGCCACAAAAAGTGTCCCTCTTGCTTCCTGCCCTGGAGGGAGAACCTGAGAGCCGAGTGGATGGGATGGAAGCACAGCTGAGAGGGAATGATAGATAGAAGGTGCTGGAGTGTGGGCTGGGAGGAGGGCAGTACCCCAGCGTGGTCTGGGGAGGCAGCAGGCAGGGCTCTGGTTGGCAGATGTGAGGGACGCACGCTGGAGACCAAGCCTTGGAGTCAGACTGACCCAAGTTCAAGTCCCTCCCAGCCACCAGACCTCTGGAAAGTTAGCTGGCTGCACCTGCTCCATCTGCCTCAGGGCGTTAGGGTCCTAAACGAGCCAGAGCACACAAGCGAGCAGGTAATCACCGGCAGCTTTGTCTCCCTGTTTCTGCAGATGACGTGTCCCCGTATTTCAAGACGGAGCCCGTGCGGACACAGGTGCACCTGGAAGGAAACCGCCTGGTGCTCACGTGCATGGCCGAGGGCAGCTGGCCGCTGGAGTTCAAGTGGCTCCACAACAACAGGGAGCTGACCAAATTCTCCCTGGAATACAGGTAAACCGTGCCGCCCGCCCCCCTCCTGGCTGCCGGGGCCACCGCCCTGCCTTGAAGAGGGCAAAGTGGGGAGGGGGTTTGCCTGACAGTGTGGGCCTCGGGGCTCCTGGGTGCCTGGAGTTCCAGAAGTGGGCGGCAAAGGCAGCCCTGCCCCGAGGTGAGACAGCCCCACCCTGCTGATCCCTGCAGAGGATGGCTGGATGGTGGACCAGGGGCACTGCCTGGACAGTGGTCTGTACTGCAGTGCACAGGAGCAGAGGTGGTGATTGGACACAGGGGCTCACTAATAGCAGCGGTGGCTGTGATGACTGTGACTCCCTCCTCACTCTCTCTAACCCTGCCATCTTCAGGGGGCTCTTGTTGAGGGGCCTGGGTCCAATGGAGGGGTGGGGTCTGCAGCAACCTAGGATCAGTGAAGGAGGGAACATCTATTTGGGGACAATTCAGCTGAGACATGGAGAAGGCCCACCCAGGGCCTCTGGGCTTTTCTTCACTTCCTATCTGTGCCTATGCAATGGAGCTTTTCAGCCTGACTGGCCTTTCCCTGCTGGGACACTGCCAGGTTGGGGGAGAGAAGAGCTGAGAGAGCGTGGGGTCTCAGCAAGGGCGGATCTGCTGCCAGCAGGGAAGCAGCCCCTTGCCCAGGCCACCCCAGCCTTCAGCCTTTCCTGCTGCCACAGACTGGGGTGGGCACTCCCTCCTTCCTGCTTTCACCCTCCCATCTCTGCCTTTTTTATTGGCTCCAACCCTGTGGCTGGTGATTAATCCCAGGGCCTGATGTGCATAATCAGTTTTGCTGGGGAAACAAGATTGTCTTGCCCTGGGGATGTTGATACAAATCTGGTGGCCTGGGATGGGAATGCAAATAAGAGGAGGGGGTTTAATTGCTTAAAGATCTGTCCTTCAGGAGAACCATCCTTTAGGGAGTATGGAGGCCAGAGTTTGGAGTGACCCCCCCACCCCAGTCCTTCTGCCTTAACCCTGGACTGGATGAGCTGGTGTAGGGTGGCCACATTGGTAAAAGGAAGCCCAAGACAGGGGACCCCCTCTCCTCCTACAGAGGGAGACCTGGACAAGCAAACAAGAGGTCCTGCAGAGCTGGCCACTCTGGGCCTCCGGTTCTCGAGGAAGCCCACAGGGAGACCAGAAGGCTCTCCCTGAGCAGTCCCTTCTGTGGTTTTCAGTTGGGGGCCAGAGCCTCTCCTGGCCACCACCTGGCCACCATCAGGAAGTTGTGACCATCTCTATGAAGAGCCCCTGCATCTCCTTAGACTTTGGACATGCTCTAGTGGGTCACCAAGAGCTTGGGATGGCATACCACGCTTGCAAGTGGTGCCAGGCCCAGCCTGCCCTTGACTCCTTCCAGCAGGGAGCTGGAAGCAGGATCCAGGAGGGGAGGAGGAGAGTTGCTTTCTTATCTGGTTCAGAGCCACTCTTCTGGGGCCCTGGCACTGCTAGGATGCAAGGGTGGGTGATAGATACACAGAAGCAGGTTCCAGCTCAGTGGAGGGACCAGATGCAATGGGCTATCTTTGGAAATAGTCAGCCTTGTCCCTGCAGGCATTCAGGGAGTGGATGGGGTCCAGCTATTGATGATGATGATGATGATGATGATGATGATGATGATGATGATGATGATAATGATGATGATGATGATGGTGATGGAATGAATGGGGTCCAGCTATTGATTATGATGATGATGATGATAATGATGATGATGATGGTGATGGAATGTATGGGGTCCAGCTATTGATGATGATGATGATGATGATGATGATGATGATGATGATGATAATGATGATGATGATGGTAATGGAATGGATGGGGTCCAGTTATTGATGATGATAGTGATGATGATGATTGATGATGATGATGATGATGGAATAGATGGGGTCCAGCTATTGATGATGAGGAGGAGGAGGGGGAGGAGGATGGAATGGATGGGGTCCAGCTATTAATGATGATGATGATGATGATGATGATGATAATGATGATGATGATAGTGATGGAATGGATGGGGTCCAGCTATTAATGATGATGATGATGATAATGATGATGATGGTGATGGAATGGATGGGGTCCAGCTATTAATGATGATGACGATGATGGAATGGATGGGGTCCAGCTATTGATGATGATGACGATGATGATGATGATGATGATGATGATGATGATGATGATGATGGAATGGATGGGGTCTAGCTATTGATGATGATGATAGCAATCATAAACAATGAAAAAGAATGTATTATATGGCAGACATTATGATGTCACTCTGTGATTATCTCATTTTATCCTGCCCACAATCCTATGAGTAGTTTCAGTTATTTCCCCCATTTTACAGATAAACACTGAGGCTCAGAGAAGTTAAACAAATCGCCTAAGGTCAGATGGTTGAGCTGGGCTTCAAATATAAGTTGTCTGACAGCAGAGTGGGAATTTTTTTACTGTCCAGCACACTGCCTCTCATTGAAGAAGGATTGCTGCAACTGCTTCCTTAATGTGTATCCTAAGCAATCTTTCTGCTAACTGTGGTCTGCAAATTCTAGAACACAAAGCAATAGGGAGAATGCAGATATTCCATTTTATAGCTATGCTGAGTAGAAGTTATTCAGGGGAAATAGATGAGTGTGCACTTGGGAAACTCATCCCTTTGCCTCCTTGCCCCCAAGCGTGTTGGCTCTGGTGGCCTAGGGGCAATGCTGTGCCTGAATACAAGTCTGATCAGGATTTTCTTTAATAAAAACCTTGTTGTGCCCCCAAGGTAAGGTCTGCACTCCTTAGAAGGGCCTTAGAATTCTTCCTGGTCTGCTCCTGATGGCATAGCCTCGCCTCCTGCCACTCTCACCACACCAGACCATCAGGGTCTCAGGACTGTTCCCTGCACATTCCCTCTTCTTGGACTTTGTCCATACTGTCCTATCCCTTCCACAGGAATATTTCCCCTTTTGGAAACTTCTCTCTCCTGCTGGGCCCAGCTCAAATTTCTTCTCTTTTAGAAAACATTCCCTGATAATGCATGTGTTATTAATCTCTCTTCTTCTCTCCCTCTCTCTCTTTCTTTTTCTCTTCCTCTCTCTCTCTCTCTCACACACACACATACATACATATATACATAGACACACACACTGCTCCATCTCCTCTGTCCTTTGTGACTGTCCACAAAGTATGGCCTTACACATCCCCTGACACCTTTTTTGCCTTCTCATTATTTACAGAGTAGACCGCAGGTGCACCACAGAACTGAAGACAGCACTTCCAGAACATTGGCAGTTCCTGGAACCTCGGCAGTTCTTGGAACCTCAGGACTTAGAACCAAGAGCTTGACACTTAGAACCAAGAGCCAGGCCCTCTTCCCTCCAGGTCACTCAGCTGTGCCCACCTCTGGGTTCATACTTCATGAAGTCATGAGTGACACTGAGAAGTTCAGTGTAGCTCACAGGCTACAGCTGCCTGATTTCTGGGTAGAAGGAATATCTCAGGAAGTTTCACTTAGAAAGTCCCAGGGAAGGATTCTGATTGGCCCAGCTCAGATCATCCCTGACCAGTCATGGTGGGCAGTAGCATGGAGCACCCTGATTGGCCAGGCCTGCATCATGCGTCTACTCCAGGGCTTGAGACACCAGGATTGGCAGCCCCCACACTGCAGCCACGTGGTAGGGAAGAAGGGTGAAAGGTGTTAACACAAGAAGGGAAAAAGGTGGCAGAAAGATAGAAGTCACCTGTGTCCCTGGCTCATAGTAGGTGCTTTTTTTTTCTTTCCTTTAATTTGAATTTTTTAAATCTCAGTAAAATCATTAGTACCATAAACATCTGTATATGTGTACCATTACAATTGCTAACATTTTTCTCATTTACACTCTTACAGTCTTCATGCACACATGTACACATGCACCTTTTTTGCTGAACTATTCGAGGATTCGCTGTAGACATAATGTCACTTCATTCCTAAGTAATATTTCCTGAAAGCAAGGCATTTGCCTGCAGAACCAGGCATGACACAATTTTCACAGCTGGGAAATTTAACACTGATACGATCCTGCTGTGTAAAACAGTCTATATTCAAGTTTCTTCATTTGATCTGATGGACATACCTTTATCCCAGTGTCCTTCATGGCCATTGGTGGTGGTCTTATTCAATGCCGGACCTAATCGGGGACTACACATGGCCGTTAGCTGTCATGAGTCTTGATATGCCTTAAATCTCGAACTATTCCTTATTGTTTCTCTCCTACCTTTCATGGCTTTGGTATTTTTAAGAGTCCAGCCAGTTTTGCAGAATTTCCCTCAGTGTGAGTTTGTCCAGTCATGTCCTCATGATTCAACTCATGTTAAGGCTTTTGGGAACAATATTTGTAGGTATGTATCCTTGATGCTTCATATTAGAAGGCACCTGATGACAATTTGCCCCGTTATTGGTGGTGTTAGGTTTGGTAAACCGGTCAAGGTGATATCCACCAGATTTCTCCATTGTCAGAAGTTTGGAGTATCTTCTTCCCTTTGTTATTGATGAGGGATAGCTTGGGACAGTGTGAATAATTTCCTTCCCGGGATTCTCCCAGCCAGTGGCTTCATATCCATTGATGAGTCTTACCTGAATCAGTTATTACCTTTGTGGTTGTGATAAGGAGATTTTCTTGTATTCCTTTTACTTATATTAGGTGGCATTCTTCTGTAAACAGCTTTCCTTTCTGACCCCCTTTAAAGCAATTTAGCATCAGTATAAACTCAGGCATTCTCTTTTTTTATTCAATGTGTTTTAATCCACCCATGTCAGTGCTAATTTGCATGCTCATCTTAACCAAAATTTGGCGGATGGAGTTCCTTCAAGCTGGAGCCTGGGTCCTTTGGACATGTCCCCCATTGCATTCTGAACACTTTCTTGTTTTGGGCTCAACAAAATGTTCCAGGTTCACCTTTTAAAGAAATGCATACTGAAAATTGCATTCCATAGGAGGCTGGCCAGCTTCATAGCCCATGGCTCTCCAACCACTGCTAGA